GTTCCTCCTGGCTTATCTGCAGGCGAATGTGGGACTGCCTGGCCTGCCAGCTTTTACCTGGACCACCTGGTCGGCTAGTTGCTGCCTTACCATGTGTCCTCTTGCCCCAGCTGCCTGTCTTTGCCCCTCCTACGAGTCTGGATGTTTCTCCTTTAACTCCTTGGTTGTCAGACTTTCATACAGCTTGGTTTTCTGGCAGTTCTGGCTTTTTTAAAAAATTGGTGGTGGTTTTTCTTATGGATGTGTGAGGAAGCAAAGCATATCTAGTTATCCCTCCATCTTGGCCAGAAATTGGTCTTTACGTGTTTGATTCTTATTTAAAGTTCTTAACTCCCTGGATCTATTTAGTTTGTACTAGTATTTATATATATATATATCACATAAATATTTGTAAAATAACAAATAAAAAGTTAAATATTACTATAATAATATTTATTAGACAAGAATAAGTTTTAATAACCTCTTAGGATTTTTCATTTTCTTTCCCATAATGATCTCTGTGGAATTTGTATATGTAGTGAATAAAAATGAGGTGTTTATTCATTTCTACCTGCTTACTTGCTGGTAGGAGGTCTATCATTGTCCCTGCTTCTTAATGAGAGACTTCTACACCCTGTTGCCACAGAAACACTGTGTGTGAGTGAAATAGGAGGTCATTTAATAAAATGGAAACACTACTACAATTAGACAAACAAAGTGAGTGGGGAAGAGATTGACAGGCAAGTTAGAGCCACAGAGTGGCAGAGGCCAGTGGACAGTGGAAGCTATTAAGGTGTGTGCCTGTCCTGCCAACTCCCTTTCATGCTTCTGTGGGTCAGTGGCATGTATATTATACTACTCTGCTTTCCTGTGCCACTTCCCTATTTTTTACCTGTCCTCTTATCCACAGTCTCCTGGTGAGCATTTTCTGTCATCCATGTTTGTTTCCTAAAATTTTCTTCTTTTTCCAATCCTGGCAGAAACTCTGAAGGGAGGAGAAGTTGCTTATTTATTTAGCCAGTCATCTTCCACCCAATATGGCTTCATCCAAACGAATTAGCCCAAATGTTGCCATGAGGACATTCCTCTGTAAGATCTGTCTTCCCTGGGTCTGTTGTATGGCATCTAATGGCACCTCTGCCAGAGGCATCTAAACCTTTGGGGCGCCCTAGAATGATATATAAGACAGGTGTTTGTCTCTCCTGTTAGATGTTTGCTCCTCTGTGTTACAAAGAAAAATAGGTTCTCTGTGTGTTGCTTTACAGTATTGGGTAGGATGTCTGGTTATGAATAATTTATAGAATGATTTAGGGTTGCCTCATGAAACCCAAAGACCCAAATACAGCTGGAGTCTTGGAGGGGATTGTACCCAGAATCTGAAAGCTGTTGGGACAATTTCAGTTGCTCTCCATGCACAGGCTTCACCTTCGTTTCAAAAGAAATGTGTTTTCTGTTTCCATGCCCACTCAGTGGGTGGAAGGTGACCATCCGGAGGCATGAAGTATGTGTGTTAATAGGGCAGGCACATGCAGGCAACATCTCCTCCTCTAGGTCCCATTTCACGGTTCCAGAAGAGAGACTCTTAGGTGAACCAAATAACCACTCCTGGTGCAAAGAGTTGTATAATACAGACTAAGTTTTTGGTTCAGCATCTGGGTCAGCAACTTCAGCAGGCATCCACTATGACAGCCCTTTACTTATTCATTTAGAATATACTTACAGACCACCTAGTGTGTGCTAGGCATTATTCAGGAAGACAGGGGTCAAGTCACGAGCAAGACCAAGTTTCAGCCTGTGGCCTTGGCTGTCAGCTGTTTTTTCTGCATTTCCACTTTGCAACAAAGTTAGTGCTATCTATTTGCCAACTCTTGTTTCTCTTTATTTTTTTTTCACTTTGGTTTCTTTATTAATAGATGTTTATTGAACTCCCACTATTTGCTGACACTGTGCTTATTTACATGGGGGAGTTGTAAGCATATACTCCCATTTTGTGTGGTTGTATTTTCAAAATGCATTAACTCAGTGATTTGTCTTATGAGTCTGAATTTGAAGACTTAATCGTAATGTGTTTTGCTTTGTATGGAATAGGGTCTTCATTAGGCAATACATTTGTAACAGAACATTTATTATCCAATATTTAAATTCTTATTTGGAAAAACTGTGATTTCCATTCTTATTTCTTTCAGTGATACTTTTTTGTGTGTGTGCCATTCTTTTCCTCTTCAAGTCCCAGTATGTTCAGCGTTTCTTCTTTTCTTTGGCCCACACTGTCAAAAATCTGAACAAAAATCTTGCAGCATTTTCTTTTGAAATGTTTCTCATGTTCATGGTTTTTCCCCATTTTCCATTTAATTCACGCTTTTATCAACTTGCTTCTAGATTGTAGCATTAATTCTTTTAGCCTGATCTCCTTACCTATAAAGGCTCCCCTCCTTCTGCTCCTACATGCACATCACCGTCAGGGGCATTTCTCTTCTGCACGGAAACCTTCTGTGGCTTTATATGACCTTCAGGAAGAAGTTCAAGCTTTCCCCCTGGGTATTTAAATCATCCACAGTCCGGCTATGGGCTATTTTTTCCTAAGCTTCCTTTTATCTCCTGTCCAATTTGGACCCTTAGTGCTGTTTTTTGTTTGTTTTTTTAATTGGCCCCTGATGCATTTTTGTCTATTGAGCCTTTGCTTATGCTCTTCTGGACCTTCCCTAGAATGTCCTCCCGTCTCCTAATGTAAACCATCCCCCTACTTTAAGGCTCTCAGAGTTGTCCTTAGACCCTGTTCTGACCCCACCCCAAACACGAAAAGTCTGCTTACCTCAGACCCTCCTAAGGGCAGCACCTTCAAACCCACTCTTAGTAACCTGATCATAAACTGAGGCCACTAGCAACCGTGGTTATACTGGTTGATGATTTGGAGAGCTGAAGCCAGATCTTTTGCTTTTGCATTCCCAGCAGTGTCAAACAAGTGACTCTCAGCTTTGGCTGTCCATTAGTATCACTTAAGGGGCTTTAAAAACAAAACAAAATAAAACAGCATCTGGTGGGCTGGGACCAGGGACCAGTGACTTGTGATAGCTGTCTCAGTGATGAAAATATGGAGCCAGATCTGAGAGTCAGTATGTGAACGCAATCTTGCTGTAAACTCTTTTGACCCACACTAGGAGAACGTGGAGTTTGAGCCCTCTGTGCATATGAGTATGTCAGTATATCACTGCGTCTCTGCCAGGAGCATTCAAAGCGATCCTTTATAATTCTGGAGTAAAAATGACTTGCTCAACAAGGAAATATGAATACTCATTATGTGCCAGGCACTAGTCTGGGTGCTGAGGTCACTGCGGTGAACAAAACACATCCCTGCTGTCCTGGAGCCTCTGTCTGCTCTTGGCCACCCAAAGGCAGACCACAAATTAATACCAGGTAATGATGAGGAAAATGAACCAGGATTCTCACATAAGCTAGTTTTAGAGATATCTTCTGTCTGCCTTAAATCAGCCAATGCTTTAAACCCACCCTCCTCTGATACAAGTCTGGGAGCCAGAGCTGGTGGGCCAGCCAGTGTTGAAATAGGAACTCTTGCTTCTGCCGTCCCATATCTGTAAGCAGAGGGCTGAGCAGTGGAGCCAGAGGGAACCCAGAGAGTGGGAGGCTGGAGGGGAGGAGGGGGATGTGAGGGCGGGGTGCAAGGAACAGCCAGGGTGCTGTGGACGCACACCTGGCCTGGGAACAGGGAACCTGCCGTGAGCACCAGACAGTAGTGCCGCTCTCAGTAACCAGTTTCACTTTGCGGTGATGCCTTTCTTATGTTAAGGGTCACAGTAGGATTCTCATCACTTTAAAAAGATGATACACTTAAATAGCCCAAACTTCGTGTTTCAAAATGTTTCTCTATGTCAATGAACATTCTGTGTAGCTGCGAAGTGGATGTTTATTGAAATGATATGCCAGTTTGTGTAATAATTTGCAACATGCATTTCTTTGATAGGTGGAAAGCATGGCAGGTATTAGAGCAAATGTATATGTAATGTACACTTACTCAGGCACCCTTCCCTTGAAGGTCAGTTCTTGAGGTGGGTGTCCCCATCTACTGAGGGATTCTGCCTTGTAGTTGGAGATGCAGTTAAGATCTGTGTGCGCCTGTATGGAGCAGTTTTAGTAATGAGCATAGTATTATTCTCCATGCCCACAGCTCCATTTAGTGAAGGGTATGGGGAGGTTGAGCTCCAGGAGAGAGGCTTGACTCTAGGACTAATATTAAATCTTAAGAAGTAGATTTGCATTGTCTTAACCCCAGAAACAGTAGCTTAAGCAATGAAATAAAAGATCACCGATCTGCGGGTAAATTGGGATTGGTAAAGCTAATTGACTCAGATTGGCAGGCGCCTCTGGAGAGAAGAGCGGTTGGTCGGTTCTAGACAAACGTGAAGCAAGCCCTTCACACCGAGTTTGGGGAATTTCATTTTTAAAGCAATAATGTCTCCTTTCGCCATCCCTTTCTGCGGTGACTGAATGCAAGACACATCCCCTTTGCTGTCATCTTTTTGTTCCTCAACACAGTCCAAGAAGCCGAGAAAACCTAGAGCCGGAGCTCAGTCCCTGGGCATAGAGGGGCAGCTCAGTGGGGCCGGAGGCTCTGACCTCCGCCCTCCCCTTCCTGCCCCCAGCAGCCTACGCCAAGCCCCGCTGCCTGCTCCAGCCGTGTGCCGCAGCCAGCCGGACGGGAGAGAGCGAGCAAGCGCCCGGGCTGGGCTGTGCGGCGAAGCGCAGCTGTCACCCAAGGAGAAGCTCTCTCCCGGGCCCGGAACAGCAGCGGGGGTGGGGCGCAGGGAGGGGGGCGGGGAGGAGCCGGGAGCAGCTGCGTGGCGGGTCTCCAGAGGGAGCCAAGGTACAAAGGCGGGCCCTGCATCGCCCAGAGCATCCTTTCCCTGCTGGACCCCGCCCGCCCGCAGCCTGCTCGCTGCTGCTGCTGCTCTTGCCTGGCGTGACTTCTTTGTGCTGTGTTTTCTGCCCGCGCCTCCTCTCTGCAGGACCTGTTCGTCCTTCTTCGGGCTATAAGAAGGCAGATGATGAGATGTCCCGGGCCACGTCTGTTGGAGACCAGCTGGAGGCACCAGCCCGCACCATTTACCTCAACCAACCGCATCTCAATAAATTCCGTGACAACCAGATCAGGTAGGAGAAGGCGGCTTAGAGACGCAAGAAGCAGTGAATTCACAACTGGAATGGGGCTCATCTCCCTCTTGTTAGCTCTTCCACGCACCTAGCTAGCCCTCACCCCTGTGGGCTTACTCCATCCCCTTCCACTCCCCTCCCCCTCAAGCCTGGCAGTCTACACCTGCACTTCCAACGGAGTCATATGTATTTAGCATCTACCTTTCTCTCCTTTGCATCTATTGCTTGCTGAGGCTGTGTGAGCCCCGAGGAAGTTTTTCTCCAAAATGAGGTCTTACGTTTTTCATCTCTGAGCTCCCTTCCAAGAATTCTCCCTCGTTCTGTTTTAATCTAGTTGAGAGATTTACCTAGCAATTTACAGACCTTAATGTGGGGAACTGCTTTATAAAAGAATACCACAAGTCGTAAGGACTCATATTCAGCTCCAAAAGGTGCAAGACTTTGTTAAGAGGTTTTCATTTGCTGGGAAACTTTGCCCAGAGTTAGCAGGAAGATGGATGGAAGCTAACCTGTGTCTACTCTTTGCTGCCCACTGTGTCAGAGTGCTTTGGCTGTCCTAGCTTTATAAATCCTCATGACCTCCTGAAGAAGGCATTATTATTACAACGAGATTAGGAATCTGAGATAGCAAGATGTTAAATAATGTACCTATGGTCGTACAGCTACTGAATGGCAGAGCCTGAAATAGAACCCAGCCTGCCTGACGACTGAGGCTCAAATTCTCTCTGCTGTGCAAAGCTAGATCATTAGGCACAGGTGTTAATACATTTTCAAATTTCATTAAAATTTCAGGCTTAGATCACTGTCTCTGGGAGTGACTTCAGAGGATGTAGTTCTGTGAGTGGCTCAGAACACCAAGTTCAGGTGTAGGGAATTAACTGATAACCCGAATTCCAATTCAGTGTTCTTTCTAGAAAGCTGTGGCTAAAACTTTGTTGTTGTTCCATGTTTAAGTATTCCACTAGAGTGACAGGATGTGCACAGGCTGCTCAGTCTGACACCCTTATTTAGAAACACCCGGCATTATTGTAGCTTGATAGAATGTGTCGTAGAATAATGGTGCCATTACCTGAAGGTGATACCCTTATTTATTAAAGAAGTGTTAGATTATCCTGGCTTTATTTTGGGTTTTAAGAATGACCACTGGGGCATATCTTATACTTAAAAGTGTAGCTTAGAATAGCTGAGGCCAAATTCAGATAGTGAGTGGGCTTGGCTTAAGATACAGAGCATCAAGCACAGTTAGTTACCACTTCACATACTAGGATGGCTTTAACCAAAAAGACGATAACAAGTGTTGAAGAGGATGTGCAGAAATTGGAATCCTCGTATATTACTGATGGGAATGAAAAATGGTGTGGCTACTTTGGATAACAGATTGGCAGTTCCTCAAAAGGTTGAATGTAAAGTTACCATATGATCTAGTAATTCTACTCCTAGCTATAAATAACCAAGGGAAGTGGAAACATGTCCACATAAAAACTGTACACAAATATTTATAGCAGCAATATTCCTAAAAGCTAAAAAGTGGAAACAATCCAAATGTCTATCAGCTGATGAATGAATGAATGAAAGGTAGTACAGGCCTACAATGGAATGTTATTCAGCCATAAAAGGAATGAAGTACTGACACATCCTACAACATGGGTGAACCTCGGAAACATGCTGTGAAAGAAGCCAGTAACCAAAAAGCCTCATCTTACAGGCATACCCCCGAGATTTTGTGGGTTCAGTTTGAGCCACCACCCTAAAGTAAGTATCGTACTAAAGTGAGTCCTAATCTTTTTTTGGTGGAGGTTCTTCCCTTTGATCAGTAAAGAACGTAACATCTGCGAAGTGCAATAAAATGAAGAGCAACAAAAAGAGGCATGCCTCTATGTGATTCCATTTATATGCAATGCCCAGAAGAGGCCAATCTGTTGAGACCTAGGTAGGTTAGTGGTTCTTGGGGCCGGGGAAGGAGGAGTGATGGCTAGTGTGCGTGGGGTTTCATTTGGGGCGCTGCTCACACAACTCTGTGTAGATACTTGGACTCATTTAGAACTCTGCACTGGCAATGTAGTTCCATTTCCTCAGACCTTGTCATATGTGTTTGGAGTTAACGACTTTTAAAAAGATAAAATTTCTTCTTAAAAAGATGTCTACTGTATAAGAATATGGTATTGAAGAGTCACTTTTAAACTGTAGGATATTTTCACAAAATACTTTAGCAATATTTTTGCTTAGTTTCTATTTAATTTTGGTATCCATTTGTACACGCTTAAAACTGGGAGAATGAATAAGGGTCTTTGTTTTTGCCTAAATTCTCCAGTTTCCATGGAAAATGAAGATTTTTAAAAAGCCTTGGAAAAGGGACCTCACAATCTGTTTGTAATCAAGACTTAAAGCTGACTTTTGAGACTGACTTTACTATTGGTCAGAGCGATTTCCAGTACCACCTGCTTTATAGTTTGATTTGTACTTTTTTAGGGTAGGCAGGAATTAATATGGGAATGTGCAGTGAAGGTTAGCTAGGAATAAAGTTAGGTAGAAACAAATTATTCTATTTAAAGCCTTATGTAACTATATAATTGAATTAGCTGAATATTAATGTAGCAAACATTAAATTTTATAGAATTTCTGAGTTCATGGCTTATACTATAAGTACACATTTCAGAATGTACTGAATTGAGTCCAAGAAATTAAAATGTGCCCCTTGCTGTCCTAGAGAATGGCCTTTGACTGTTTGTTTCACCTTGACTGTGTATTCAAATAAGAATTGCTAATGGTTTTGTGACTCAGTTTATTTATTATAAAGCATCTTGGCATTATAGTTTAAGGACTTTACAAAATGTTGAGCCACACTATTTTAGCACTTTAATATTGCTGAAGTCAAGTTATATGAAAATACTGATTTTTAAAAATAAGATTTTTAAATCTTGGCCATGAATGCTTGCTGAATGTTGATAAAGCTATTCAAAGGAGTGTTTTCATAAAAGTAAGTTCTTAAAGGATTTCTTTTTCTTAATATAATTTTTCTTGAGAAAAGTTAAATTTTTTTTGAGGCTTGGTGTGGAGTGTTGATCCTAGATTGTTTGCTCCCAAATTGAGATATTTGAGGAGAATAGACCACCTGGGACAGATGAGGCTGCTGCTAATCCATGGGACTATTGGGAGGCGGTCCACCTCATGAGGCCGGCCCTTGCTGGAGTGGTTTTCTCACTTACCTCCCCCACTCCAGGCCCTTTCTGGCTTGGGACCGTGAGGATCGTGGCAGTTGATTGTGTCTACCTTCATGAGCAACTGGCATTTGAAATTCAGGGAAGAGATCAACGTTTGCTAAAGATGGAGGTGGCTGCTGGGTGCTGGGAGAGGCCAGTGAGGTGTGGTGTGGTAAGCTCAGGACTGGGATTGGAGGCCTAGGGTTAATGTCTGGGCTAGTGTGTCCAAGAAAGAGGCCGGGCCTGGTGAGTAGGAGGGCGAAGGTCACCACGGAGGTTGACTGTGGCTTTGTCACCCCCAGGGGAATGTGTAACCTGGTAACTACAAATTCCAAGCAATTCTTTGACAGACCGGGGGCGTCTGTGCCATTCGTTGGATGTGGGTGTCTTCTCCAAACCTTGTTCTTGACGCTGAAAACAGTATATGTTTGATTAGGAGCTGTGGCGGGATGCAGTTTTCCATTACTGAAGCCAAAAAATTTGGATTATCATAATTATGGAGAAGTATGACATGGTCTTTTTCTCCTAGACATTGATTTCCTAGGGTCTTTACCATGAGGACAGCTGTGACCTCCTTTATCCTGTAGAAATGCTAATTAATGGACTATTTGCAAAGTATGTGTCTATGTCTAGGGTTTAACAGGGATATGCAACCTTTTGGCATCTCGGGTCCGCACTGGAAGAAGAAGAGTTGTCTTAGGCCACACAGTAAATACACTGCAATCTGTAATCACAAAATGATCTCATAGTGTTTTAAATTTGTGGTTTTGTGTTGGGCCACATCCACAGTCGTCCTGGGTCGCACACGGCCTGCGGGCCTGGAGCCGGACACCCTGGCACCGTGCCAGTATATGTCTGCCTAGCAAGATGCCCTTTTCCTGAAGCGTACACCATCCTCTTCTAAATGTTTTTAAAGCTTTATGGGAAAGCTTTAACTCACCCATCTAAAGTGTACAGTTCAGTTGTTTTTAGTGTATTTGCAAATCGTGTAGACATCACCACAGTGAACTTGAGAGCATTTTCATGGCGTCCAGAAGAAACCTGTGCCCTTAGCTGTCATCTTGCTGCTCCTTCCTCTCCCATCCCTGAGCAATCGCTGGTCTACTTTCTATCGCTATAGAACTCCCTGTTCTGGACTGTTCATGAGAATGATATCACTCCCTTTTAAGCATAATTTTATTTTATTTATTTATTTTTTGACAGAGGGGAAGGGAAGGAGAAAGAGAGGGCGACAAACATTGATTGATTGCCTTTTGCACATTTCTGAACCCACAGCCTAGACATCTGCCCTGGCTGGGAATCGAACCTGAGACCTTTGGGTGTGTGGGACAACACCCGACCCACTGAGCCACACCAGCCAGAGCCATATGCAGTCATTCTATGGGGTTACCAGACACCATTTGAAATAGTGACTTTTAAGGCTGTGAGGTCTTTTTCTTCTGTGTTTCAAATGAGGTCTTCAAAGCAGGTTAGGAATGTTGATAGACAGCAGTTTTGAATGAGTCACTGGTTTCAGGCGGCAGTTTTAACTAGCAAAAGTCCTCATTAGAGCAAGCACTTGAATTCAGTCAGGCTATTGCATTTTTTCAGGTTGGGTTGTCTTAAAGGAAAGTTGGTGTATAGGCATATTTTGTGGGTTTTAAGTTTGAAGCAGAGTCTCACCTCTGCAGAAAGGGAAGTGAGCAGCGTGTGGCTGGTTTCACAGTGTCGGTGTGCGATGTTGTGCTGAAGACGGTATTTTTGTCTTGAGGAATGAAGAGAAATCATCTTTAAAAACCAGTTGTGAATGAGTAGTGGTGA